CAATGGTCGTTGGTGTGTCATCCACAAGGTACACAATATAGTCACCACCAAAAAACTTTACAGTCCTTTGTCTCTTACTTTTTCTTGTGACTATAGTGTCATCCTCCTCAAGATTTTGCATATAAGGTTCCTCAGTTTGTTCTATCAGAAGACAATTTTCATGCTCATGGGAAATTATAAATTCATGACTAGTCGTGCTAGGTGCATTTTTTATGGAAAATTCATTCTAAAAAAATATAGCGTCTCTAGATTCCATGATTGTATCAACAGCCATCTCAGAAACACTAGAGTTTATAATTAAAAATCTATAACCCACGCTGTGAATAGCATAACAAAAAAAGACACAATCAATAGTCTTTGGTCCAAGCTTTCGCATTTTGTTTATTGACACATTCTCCTTTGCCAAACAACCCCAAGTTTGCAGGTAAGAGAGATTTAATCTATTCTTCTCTCATTCCTTGAATGGTGTAATTTCTTTGTTCTTTGTAGGTACTCTATTCAGGACATGACATGCTGTCAATATAGCATCACCCCACCATTCCTTAGATAGTCCCGTATTCTCTAACATGGCATTTACCAAATCAGTTAGAGTGCGGTTCTTTCTCTTTGCAATCACATTGGACTGTGGTGAGTATGGTGGCATCCTCTCATGAATAATTCCATGCACCGCGTAAAACTCAGAAAATTTATTTGAGAAATATTCTCCCCCGCGATCGGACCACAAACGCTTGATTTTCTACCTCTGCTTTATAGACTTTAAAATAATGCAACGTTTCATCTTTAGTTTTTAATAAATACACGTAGCAAAATCTAGTACAATCATCTATAAATGTCATGAAGTATCGTCTACCGCCTTTAGTCAATTCGCCATTCATTTCGCATAAATCAGAATGAACGAGTTCTAATGGTGCCAAGTTCCTCGCCTCAACAGCCTTGTGAGGCTTGCGCGGTTGCTTCGATTATACACACACTTGACACTTAGAATCTTTGACTAAGTTAAATTTCAGGATTAAATTCAGATTTGCAAGCCGCGTGAGACAGCCAAAATTAATATGACAAAGTCGTGAATGCCAAATATTCGACTCATCCAAAGCATTAACATTGTTCACCATTTTATTACACACATCATCAAGGAAAGATAAGCGGAACAAGCCTCCGCAATCATAACCTTTTCCAACAAATATTCCATGTCTCGACACAACACATTTAATGAACTCAAGCACAATTTTAAAGCCATCGCGACACATCTGAGAAGCGCTAACAAGATTCTTCTTGATGGAGGAGATATGCTGCACGTTCTTTAATAGCACCGTCTTTTCCGAAGTAAACTTCAGAACGATCGTACCAGTACTAAGAACACGCTCATGTGAACCGTTTCCCATCAGTAGGGCTCTAGTCCTACTGACCTGATAGGAAGTAAACAAAGAAATATCAGCACACACGTGAATATTAGCACCGCTGTCCATCCACCACTCAGGTGAAAGACAAACTGAGAGAACAAAAGGTAAAGAATTACCATACCCAGATGTTCCTCCTCCAGTCTCACTAATCACCATGTTTGTTGATTTTTTTCTTGCTTATATTTACGGTCTGGGCACGCACTTGCCCAATGCTCATCACTCTCGCAAACAAAGTAACCTCCACCTTTCTTGTTGTTTTTCTTCTTAAACTGTGCAGTTTGTTTAGGCTTTGCATTGTTGTTTTCTTGCATGTTCTTCTTCTTTTTATTACGAGATGCAAATAAGTTTTTCTTCTGCACCATATTGGCGGCGGAAGACTCAACTCCTTTTCCACGGTTGTCTTTTGCTCTCGCCCTCTCCTCAACATCAAGAGATCCAATAAGCTTAATCACGCTAAACTCTTATCTCTTGTGTTTTATAGAAGTAGCAAAATCCCTCCAAAAAGATGGCAACTTAGCGATTATACCGTCGGCCATAAATTTGTCGGACAACAAACATGGAAAATGTTCTAGTTCCTTTGCTAGCGCCTGTATCTCATGAGCCTATTTGACCACAGAACGGTTTTCAACCATTTTGTAGTCATACAGCTGCTCCATAAGGTACAGCTCACTGCCAGCATCAGAAACTCCAAACTTTGCCTCAAGAGCATCACATAACTCTTTACCTGATGTGCAAGATATGTAGTTTTTCTCATACTTAGGATGAAGTGTACTGATCATGACGCCTCGAAACAGGTTATCGGCAGCCAAGAACTTTTTCTCCTCCTCAGGAGTAAACTGTTCAGGCTTCCCTTGTGCGGCGTGATAACAATTTATCGCAGTCAACCACAATACCATCTTGGCACGCCATATCATGAAATTCTTGCCATCAAAATTATTTGGCTTCAAAGCAGCAGCAAAACCACTGACAGAAAATTGCCTAACATTAGGTTTTTAGAATGTTAGATATTTAGACATTTTCATTATCAGTTTAATCCAGAAAAATAATATCAGCAGGTTCGTGACGGCATATATATGCATGTGTATATCTTTAACGAACGCTACAGCATACAGAGATGACATACAGATAAATACAGTAAAAGCGTAGATTACAGTAATCAGAAAGATTAGACTGTACCCAGCGGAGGGTCTCATGCCGAGGACATCGGAGGCTTCATTCGCACTAGTCGACATAGTGCGTTGCTCGAAGTCGCGGACCACAGTTGGTGCAGGACGATGTTCGCAGTGCAGTCCCACGAACGGATCATCAGGAAGAAGACGCCCTGATGTTCCGCAGGCAATCACCAGGAAGAAGACGTACGTGGACGAGCAGTCACGGATCGCTCTCCAAAAACCTAATCGCCGCACACCCCGTGCAAGGTTCTCAAGCAGACGAGGGTTCTGAAGGCACCTGCTCTCCCGCTACTCCGTGCGCGCAGAGGTACGGGACGGGGAAGCCAGAATTCTACTGAGATGTGGTTTCTCTCGAGAGCGGCTGCGAAAGACGGTGATCTGGACTGACGGAGGACTGCGGTTATATGGCTACGACGGGAAGGGAGAGAGGCAGCGGAGAATCCTAGGAAACGGAGAAACGGAAGCGGAAAGAACGGTAACTGACGCAATCAGTTCGCCTCTACCATCAAAAGGAGTAGACTGACAGAGGACTGCGGATATATGGCTACGACGGGAACGAAGAGAGGCAGCGGAGAATCTCAGGAAACAGAGAAACGGAAGCGGAAAGAACGTTAACTGACGCAATCAGTTCGCCTCCACCGTCAAAAGGAGCAACTCCCGTGATTATGTGGATTAAGTGGCAAAAGAATGGCCACGCCCGCCCGCCTCGCCACGGCCTCGGCCCGGGCGACGGCGGGGCACGCGCGCACGCCTTTATTCTTTTCTCGGCTTCTCAATTTAAATGAATAATTTCCAACCATATAAGCTGAGTCAACGTTCAGTTAAAATCCCATATGGTATTAAACCATACAACGCTTAATGTTACGTACCATAGAGTTTTATTTGATTTATTAAATATTATATGGGTCAAGCCCATATTATATGAACAGTACGTACATCTTTACCAAGACACGACTAGCCGGAGCCGAAATGGACGGTGTCGTCCCGTCGAGTCCGTACTCCATATCTTCTTACGAACGAAAATTGACCGGCTTTCCCAGAGGACCTAGCTAGCTCAGAACTGACCATGCACAGCACAGTGTTTTCCTTTTATTTGCACACGTTTCGTGTTTGTGGCACGGAAATAAAGTTGGTTGTGGCCAATCAGGCCATGCTTCAGATATGCAGTATGGTCATGTGAATGGCGCTTGCCTAAATGAAATGAACGTGGCCTTTGGGTGGATAGTGCGTTTGCTGCGTCCCTTTTACCAGTTGTCACTGAAAGTGGAAGAGACACGGACCCAGCAGAATCACAATCGCCCACACGGCAAACCAGACGGTTACGGGGTCCAACTTCCAAGATGCACTCTCGGCGGCCTGGAAGAATGCTGTGGCACCAAGCAAGATAACGGTGGTCAAAGGACGGTCTGGGCACCAAGAGATAACGGTGGTCAAAACGACAAAGCTTCAAAGGATCGTCAGCTTTTGAGAGGACGCAATCGTCGAATCCAGCTTCCAGAAACTAGCAGGGCGGAGCAAGGCCATTTTGACGCTGTCAGTGGATTTTTAAAACCCAAATCTAAATTGTCGTAGACGACCTATGAGAAAACAAGTAGATTATCCTCCGTTTAGAACGCATAGTTTTTTGAAAATCAGCTCAATTTCATATAAGAACATCCTAGGATTCGGAAAAAGAATCCGACGTTCCAAATCAAGACTCTGTTCGCTTGAGCTTATAAGACATAATTAGCCCTACTTTTTCCAGTCCTGAAACAGTATTTTTCTCTCACAACAAATCAGCCACAACAATAATAAATCCGGCCGAACATAGCCATGGCTCTATCCTATCTGGGGGATTCTGGGGAAAAAAGCAAGCTGGAAAAAATAAATGACTGCGAGTAGAAGCAGGAGTTCGTACGTTCTGACGACGGACCGTTGATCCGTGAGGCACACAGTTTGACTGGGCCCGCCGGGCGGGCATCTGAAAGTTTTGACCCCACTGCAGTCTGCAGCGTTGGCGTTGCTCCTCTACTGACCTGCCTGCCATGCAATTGCATACCGGCCTTCGTCCACTCTATCTCCAGCTGCTTCTCTTCTTTTCGTTTCTTTTTCTCGAGGTCAAAACTCAAAAACCAAAACCATATCGGGGCGAGGTCAACTCTGCTCGGGGGTTGACCTCCCATAAGTCCCTCCCATCCCCATACCTATAAATACGCGCGCAGTCCGTGCACCGCCAAGGTCAGCCCGTGCCGGTGCCACTGCCATCTCCTCGAGGACGAACGCCAGTCACGAGCCTTGAACTTGAAGCCTTCATTCAAGAGAGGTCAGCTGAGAGCCATCCCAGGACTCACGAGGGAGGACCGGAGCCACGAGGCTGGGTGGGCCGCCTAGCTAGGAGGCTCGAGGCCTAAGCGAAAAGCTTCGGGACAGCACGCGCGCGCGGCGCGCCATGATGAGGCGCGCGGAGCCGGTCGGCGAAGCGGACTCGGAGCGGCGGCGCGGCGGCTACAAGGGCGTGCGGCGGCGTCGGTGGGGGAAGTGGGTGTCGGAGATCCGGGTGCCCGGCACGCGGGAGCGCCTGTGGCTCGGCTCCTACGCCACGCCCGAGGCCGCCGCCGTCGCGCACGACACGGCCGTCTACTTCCTCCGCGGCGGCACCGGCACCGGCGCGGGCGTCCCAGGCGGCGGAAACGGCGGCGACGTAGCGGCGCTCAACTTCCCCGAGCGCGCGGCGGCCGCGTACGGTGCCGGCGCCGGCGCCGGGGGCCGGCTGTCGCCGCGGTCCGTGCAGCGCGTGGCGTCCGACGCGGGCATGGCCGCCGACGCGCAGCTCGTGGCGGCGCGGGAGAGCGCGCCCGCGCCCGCGCTGGCCCACGCCCATCGCACCGGCATTGGCATCATCGGCAGCGCGCACGGCGGTGGCGTCAGCGCCCGGGCGCGCGATCAGGATGCTGGTGACGCGTACACCGGCCGTGCGCACGCTAGCCTTCACAGTACGGGCGCGGGAAGGGAGCAACCTGCTGTCTCCGGGGAGATTAGCGTGGATGACATGGAGATTCTGATGTAACTAATATAACCAAAAAATTGATAGTACTGTCCGAAAAAAAAAAGATGGTAGTACTGAAATTAGCGGATGCAATAAAACATCTTTTTTAACGAACAGTGCCATTGCCAATGCCATTAGCGGATGCAATAAAACATCTTTTTTAACGAACAGTGGCTCGCTCTTTGCTGAGCCTGGCGTGCAATGGAAATACAAATCAGCAAATGCAGTGTTGTCAATGGTGGAGTCTGAAACGAACCCATCGAGACCAAATGCAACAGTTCTTTGGCAGGCGGAAAAGGATTTAACCCCAACTGACGACGGTTAATTTTGACTTGGCTGGTGGCTGGTGCAGCCTTGACATATTTGTTTACCGTCCCCGGCGATGTACTGACGGTGAGGTGAGGTGAGGTGAGGTGAAGCCAACTCGGCTGCCGTAGTTTTGGACTTCTGGTCCTCGACTCGGTCGTGACTGTGAAACGACCGCAGGCTGCGTTGCAGTTTCTAGAGAAGGCAAGTCGACGATTGGAATCCTGACTGCGTGGTGTATGTATCATCACAGTATCCTGCTGCATCAACCTGGGTGTGGACTTATTTGGAGCACAGTGACACAGAGGATGCAGTAACAGTCATCAAGAAGCGTTCAGTTGAACAGTCTTCTTGCCCACAGCAGTAACCGCGTGCAACGTCAATTTTATTTTTACAAGATGGTTGACCAAGGTTTGGTCAACAGATTATAGATGGATACTAAATCCGTTCTAAATTATAGTTCGTTTGATTTTTTTAATCCCAAATTTGACCACTCGTCTTATTCAAAAATTTGTGTTAAATATCATTTTTTTGTTGTGACTTGTTTTATTAACAAAATTTCTTCAAGAATAATTTAAACTTGAGGATAAAAAAAATCAAACGGACGGAGAGAGTACTGTACTAGTACGCGAGAAGATAATAGAAAGACTTGCACGCGCATACCGGCACGCAGGTCACGGACACAAAAACGCATCCGGGTGCCTTCTGAACTCCTGCCGATGTCGGATGTCGCCATCTGATCTCCCAAGCACCCGGCCTTAACGCGCTCAGCAAGTCAGCATGCCATGGGCTCAAACGAAGTGCCTTCATGGTTGACCAAACAAAGGCAAATCCCTTTTCGGTGAATGGTGGGCACACGGTCGCTCGGATCATATCGTACCGGTACTCAGAACTGTATAGTTGGCCGCTTGCCACTAAGCATGCTGCATGCCTGAAACATCTGTTTCTGGACCATGCACAAGCCGAATCATACATACCGTACATAATAATATCAAAAGTCTCATCAGATGCCAGCACGCGCACCAGATGAAGTTTCAGCTTTGGGCACAGCCGGTAGGCAGGCAGGCGTTGCCATGCTCAAGTACTGCATCGTTCTTTCACTAGGTAAAAACAAGTCAAAGCAGTCCACATGCAATTACATCGAGCAGAGCAACCACACTGGCTACAAGCAGCCGAGGATTACTCAAATTATGTACAGATTGGTAACAGGGAGACCATCCCAAATGGCTAGGATGCAAACGAACAAAGTTTACATTCCATCTTGCTTCGGCTTTTGGCTCAGCTCTGAGTACTGGCCACCCATCAGCTGCAAAATCTCGGTCCACAAGCAGGAGGGGTCCATCGTCAACGCGTCGGTTATCAGGCCTGAGCTGCAGGAAGTCACCACCCAATATCCTGCATCGATCTCACTCAGCAGCTGGTCATGTTCCCAAGCAGAGTACCCAACATAGAACTTCAGGTCTTCAGGCTTAACCGTGCCATTCTTCATCAGACCACCAGCCTTCTCCAGGTCAGTCCTGAAGCCAAAGCAGATGCCAGGTACCACCTCTTCGAACCCCTTGATCGGTCTTCCCTCGGCCGTCCTCATCAGGAATATACTCATGTCGACAGGGCCTCCGAACAAGAGGGAACAATCACCAAAAAGGGTCGCTTGCTCGCCGAAGGATGGGTTCACATGCTTCATCTTAGTGTACAGTGGACGGTTCAGGATGATACCGAACGGGCCATCGTAGGCATCTCTTGAACCTAGTCTTAGGAGAAGGATGACAGTCCTCTCAAAGGTTCCATTGCCATCAAGCTCTTCAGTGGCGACCAACACACATCCAGACTCTGGCATAGGAATAGAATGAGCCCACTTCCAGGGAAGATGATATACTGCTCCATCCTGAGCTGTCTGTTGTGGACTATTTGCATCTGTTTGCTCCTGGTTTGGATGCATGATAAATAACAAGTTAGGGAAAAATAATTAGGACCAGGTCAATGAGAGTTTCTTAACAAAAACACCAATTAGCTTCAGGCAGAGACAGGCTACTCTTTGCTAAAGGAGAATAAAAAGGGATCTGATCTGTAAATTGGTCAAATGTAATTGGGACAACAAAAATGTGCATAAGACATTGGGATGTATTAGAAACAGGGCATTGAAGATCTTGTTACACTACATGATGGAGACAAGTCTAGCAGTATGATGTTGTTTGAGGTGAAGAAATTCACATTTTTGTCTATCTATATACAACGTTAGATAAGAGGTTTAACGTAATGTGGAATAGTGAATACTTGCAGCGAGAACCATAAAGAAGTCCTAAATAAAAGTACAGGATCAGCACATAGATGATAGTGAGAAAAAATGTTTCAATTAACTGAGGAGTTGAGGATGGCCAAGTCTCAAATTTCAACTTTCTCCAAAAAGGAGGGAAACACCAGAACAGCAGAGAAAAATTATATTCATTAAGTTGAAAAACTGACTGTGGAATAAAATACATTTTGTACCATGGACAGTCTTAAGTTTCCAAAGTCTCATGTGTTCGTTTCAGAGGTTGTAACATGTAGGTACAATGTTAGGGGATTATAAAGTGCAAGTCAATCTTCAGAAATTGACCCATTGTCTTCTTTCCTTTATGACACTAACAAATGAAAGTAACTGAGGAAAAATGGTAGCCCGAGCTTTTATGAAATTTCATTTTAGATTCTAACGGCATTCCTACATAATCGCCAAATAAGCTATACTGAAGGTGCCTGTCAAAATCTTTTGTCAAACTTTCTAGTACAGATGAAATAGCAAAGACCAGAAAGTTTGGTCTTACCAACGTTGGAATCACGAAGCTTGCTCTCACATCTCGCCAATATGACAAGTTGCTAGGTATATACATTGTGTCACTTGATTTTGGTTCGTCCTGATTTTGGCTTGTTCCATTTGCAGCATCTCCACTGGGAGCAGATGCATCACCTTTTCCTGCATGCAGAAATGAGGTGTCAGAATTCACCAGCGCAACACATACTACAGGGAAATTCAAATACAGCCTTTGTACCCAACATTTTAAGACACATCAACAAAGAACTATATAGTATCTTAATAATGTATATATCTGATGTAGACAAGACATGGAAAATGCCAACAGTGCATAGCCAAAAGTTAATAATTATGCATTACATAGAAGTAGCACTTGGTGATGTACTTTCTACTGAAATGTAGAGATATCAAATCCTTAAAATTCTGATTAAGCAATTGACACATGAATGAAACACTGCGGCTGGAAAATTCAAATGCAGCAATGGGAACCCCACGATTTCTATATACAGAATTCGAGATCAGTACAGCTACTGCAGTAAAGTAGTTTTCAATTATTAAGTGCACCAAAAGTCTCAAACTCCAAATGGACCCTGAAGAATAACCATCGAGCTCAAAACATACCCAAATTCCATATCACCATAACAACTAGAAATCCAGTGAGACATGTACACCTTTGCATCACAAATCGTACAGTAACCAACAGGACCTCGATGCAAAGGCCACAAACAATTTCATCACCGAGCGCTAATAATTTCAATCCGCACCCAATCTACAAACGTTGACCGCTTCCCACATGCGAATCACCTAGATCCTGCTCCAATCGCACAGATCGACAAAGCATCAGGAGCTCGGCCAAGAGGACCTACCAGAAGAGGAGGCCTTCTTCCTGGGCTCGTCGCCGTCCTCTCGGCCGTTGTTGCCCTTCCTCCCCGACGCGCTCACCGCCAACCTCGGCCACCGCGCCGGCTGCCACCTCCACCTCGTCGGCCCCACAGCCAGCGAGCTGATACCGGCGGCCAGCGGGGACCGCGCCGCCGGCTGGGGATGCCTCGGCGTGAGGCAAGGCCCACCGGCCTTCAGGTTGAGGGCCCACATGCCCGTGGCTGCGTGGAGGCCGGTGGGTGGGACACGGGGACGGCGTCCGGACTTCGGAAGTTCGGATCCGGAGTGGAAATAGACACGCAAGCACTGGGTCCCTATGTGGTTAACCGATTATGCTATTCCAATTAATAATGAGCTGTGCTATTCCAATTAATAATCAATTAAGGCCTGTTCGTTTCATACGGAATGGAGCCTGGAATGATTTAATGTTGTGCTAATTTATACTATATTTGGGTGAGACGAGGGCTAAACAAACAAGCCCTTAATAAGAATGAAAATAAACTCAGATCCGTGGGGTAAACAATTCCCAGGCGTTCTGCTTAAGGGCTAATTTGAAAGCGAGGAAGGCATGCCAAGAATATAAAACACTCTATGAAAAACTAAATGAGTTATTCAAATGATATCCCATAGATTTTTCACCTTTTTTCTTAATAGGATTTCAGTTTCCAAAGTAGCCTAAGATAGAAGATGATCTTCTCACGAAAATCTGGAAAACACCCGAACTCCTGGTCTCACCTATACACAGCGGCACCATAGCTCACGTAAGACTGATCCGAACCTAGACCTCTGCTTTAGCATGGGACAAGCGAGAGGAATATTTACCACTGGGGAGGTGGGGATCGAACTCCCAGACTTCTCACCACTGGGATGCTACCAATCGGGTTACAGCCCATCCTCTTAATAAGAAAGAGAAAGAGTTTACTCTTTATTTATCATTTGTAATAACATCTTTGGACACACTACAACATTGCCATCTAGATCTATATGATAAATGTCGTGGTTTTTATCTCATGAGAGCATATGTTATTCTCTTTAACTTGTAATA